ATAATTGATTTTCTAAAAGCAAGTGTTTTGCACCCAGCTTGGGAGAAGGTGTTTAGTCTAAGCCCTGTGACAAAGAACTATTGGGCACAATGGGACCAGTTGAAGCTTGAAGATGGTATTCTTTTCCGGAGATGGGAAACTGCAGATTGAAAAGTGACGACCTGGCAAACGGTTATACCGAGAAAGTTACGGGAAGTTGTGCTGCATCAATCCCATGATACTTTAACAGGAGGACATCTCGGAGTTAAGAAAACATTGAGTCACCTACGACAGAGATTTTACTGGATAGGTATGAGACAAGATGTGGAAGAATGGTGCAGAACATGGATTGCTAAAAGGGGACCTAAGCATAAGGGACGTGCTTCAATGAAGTTATATCAAGTTGCCGCACCAATGGAAAGAGTAGCCGTCGACATTGCTGGTCCTCTGCCCCAAACTCGTACTGGAAACAAGTACATTTGTGTGGTGATGGATTATTTCACCAAGTAGCCTGAGGCATATGCAATACCAAATCAGGAAGCTACAACTGTAGCTTCGGCTATTAGTGATTTCATTTTCAGATTTGGTATGCCATATGAACTGCATTCAGATCAAGGCCGTAACTTCGAATCAGTTGTGTTCCAAGAATGCTGCAAGTTGTTTGGCATCCTAAAGACCAGGACAACGCCACTTCACCCACAGTCCGATGGGATGGTAGAAAAGTACAATTGGACACTGGGACAGGAATTGTAAAAGTTTTGTAATAGCCGCCAAGATGACTGGGATGTCTTACTCCCTCCACCGTTGATGGCCTATAGGACAACAGGGCATGAGGCCACTGAATACACTCCAGGAAGGTTGATGTTTGGTCGGGAACTTCGGCTGCCAGTGAATCTATTAACAGGACGCCCACCTTATGAAGAGATGCCTGAAAATGTGTCAGAGTTTGTGAAAATGTTATCGGAAAGGATGGATGATATTCACCATGAAGTGCATTCAAACTTGAAAACGTCTGCTGATTCGATGAAGTTATCTTATGATAAGAGATCTACTGAAGTCAGCTTTGTACCAGGAGACAAGGTGTGGTTGTATAATCCCAGGAAGACCAAAGGGAAGTCTCCTAAGTTGTCTTCTCCATGGGAAGGCCCATATGACATAGTGGATCATCTCTCAGACGTGACTTTCCGGATAAAATGTGGTCGGTGAGGTAAGCCAAAGGTGGTGCATCCCAAACGGCTTTGGTGTTATCATGGTCCAGGACATTTCAGTTGGGATAAAGTGAACAATGGAACAAATGACGCTGCTGAAGACGTGTCACCTGAAGAAGATGAAGCAGATAAACCCCACATGAAGTAGAAGCCAACGAGATGGAGACCAGTACGGAAGAAGATACGTCCCGTAAAATTAAAATACTTTGTTGAATTTGAATTTTGTGTTTGTAAATTCTGTACATTTAATTAAGTTATTGTTTATTGGTTTAATGTAAGTGGTTATTGTTCGGGAAGGGGCAGTGTTACGACAGCGGGAGTCACGTGACGCTAGTAACACGTCATATTCTCGAAGCTTCACGTCCCTTCCTGAAGTCTCGAGAGGCTACTAGTTGCGTTAGTCTTGTATATATATATAAGCCGCTAAGAAGTGACGGCAACAATGTGTAATTGACAGTTGAGTCTAGCACGTGAGACGTTCGTTGTGAATTATAGCGTTTGTTATAGCGCGACTGCGGAAATTAAGTGTATTGCAAAATTGTATTCAGAAAGAATAAACCAGTTTTATTTAAGAAAGGACTTATATCGCTAGTTTCTTCAGAAAAATTTTTACGGAAAATTAACTATCGACCAGAGACGTAACAATATTATGTGTCATTTTTTAGGTAGTGTAAAGCCTTCAAAAATGTATCGTTTTTGAAAATGCTATCTAACAACCCTTTTCGACGTAAAATAAAAAGAAAAAAATTCATACATTTATATCATAAAGATATGTTCTGATCATTTTCTAAGACCGGGATATCTATTGTACCTTATGAAACTGGAAAACAAGGGAATGTAACAGAACTTTGGGCTCTAGGAACGGTCTACAAAGAGACAAGCAACAAGTACTACAGCCATAATAAGCAAATGGCAGCGTTTAGTAACAGGTAAAAACCAATGGCAAAAGCCGTCCACGTGCCCTAAGCAATTGCATGCACTATAATTAAGAAGTATCTCTGGAAAAGCGTGAACACAAGTTGCTTCCACAAAATACCTATTCAACCATCACATATTGCAAGCAACTGGAGAAAGAAACGTGTATTCACGATAGTCCATATGAAAACATACCAGTCAAGTCGCCTATGGATTTCTGTGTGATCGAAGTGTTAAAACGAGCGCTGTAAAATTGTTATCCTCGAATTTTAGATGCATTATGGAAACCACGCAAGGAGCAGTTGTGTGCTTTGAACATGACAGCCCTACTACAGAGACTTTTTCAGTGGAAACTATGCTGTATGGTTATTCTTAAGAGATACGATCGTCAAATGAGGCACGATCGGACGTGGCGATGCTACAAAATTATTTTAATATAACGTTCCCAACCTCTGCAGTCATAATATCATCCGATATTGACAAATAAATTATGTGGCTAGCTACACAATTGAATGTTATTATATTTTGTGTATATATGTCATACGTAAATTCGATGACGAGGAACTCACTTTGAGACTAATAATGGTTGGAGACGGCTTGAATGAGCAATGAAGAAAAACTTTAATGTAAGTGTAACATAACAGCAAATGTGTTGTACATTTGGTTTTGTCATCATCACACTTGTCGAAACGTTGTACATTTGCTGTTATGTTACACTTATATTAAAGTTTTTCTTCATTACCCATTCAAGCCGTCTCCAACCATTATTATTCATATGTAAATGTTTTATATAAAATCGTTGAAAACTAGCTTCTCTAATATCTCCAGATGGTTTGCGTTTGTTTGGTTTAATGTTTGATACAATCACATGAATATTTCTGTGTAACAAGGGCCGAGTACGGCTATAAATTAGAGGCAAAAAGCTCATGGTGACATGAAATAATTTTCATCAGTTTGCATTGTAAATACATGTGCAATTGTTCAACGCCCCCTAATTCCCTCATCGGGTTTGTCGGTTACATACAGGCGTTATGTTATATTTTTGCAATTCTCCAATTTCGACACAAATATATAACTAAGTACAGTGCTGATTTTTTTTTTTTTTTTTTTTTTTGTAGCTTGACTATAAAT